GGACTCCGCCATCTCGGATTCGACCTCCTTGTTGGGCTTCTCCATGCACTCCGCCCTGACAGCGCGCTCCTCCATGATCTTCTTCTCCAGGCCTGCCGACTCTGATCCCAAACTGGGATCCCTGAAGGCTTCTGGCAAGTCCTCGGGGGAAACTGAGGCACTCCCTCGGATCTTTACCTCACCTTCTTGTGGATCGGCGACGCAAACGACGGCAGCATCCATGGCTCGAACCGCTTCCTCAGGGTGGACTCCATTTGGTGCACCTCCTTTAAACATCTCTTCTGGGCTCTCCCAGCAGGAAGCGCCTGGGACCAGATTCAGGGGACGACCCTCTAGGACACTCAAGGTGACCCCTCGTCTTACCTGATCCAGCACTTCCATCTGCGCCTTGATTACAAGAATCTGCGCTTCTCTAAGATAGAGATCGATCATGGTCTCGCTGGCCTTCCTCCACGCACCCTGATAGCGGATCGAACGGGACTTGATCCCCGTGTGCACCATCAGCGTGGTCAACGTGTTCTTGCACGAGTGCCAGCGCAGACCTTTGATCTCGAGCTCAGACAGGGGAATTGATCTCCCTGCTTCAAAATCATCCATGAGGGCCTGCTTGGCCAGTGTGTCATCCTCCCCAATGCACGGGGGCGTAGCCGCGAACGATCCCTTGCCGTCACTGGCGCAACCGAGGAACCCGTGGGTTGCCCAGCTTCTGCCGTGGACCTTCAAGAGGATGTCCGCCAAGACGAAGAGCCAGCGGTCGTTTTCAGGTCTGACCCCCAGCCAGGATGCTGCCCATGGTCTGGGACCACTCTTGGTTTTCCCCGCCTTCGCACGCAGCCCCAGGATTGCCTTCTCACCAATGACTCGGCACCACTCTACCCTCGAGAGGGCCGTGGTGGCTAGGTCACTGTGGCGCACAGAGGCTTGCGTGCAGAGACGAAGCTTTCCAAGGACCAGCCTATGCTCGACCTTCTTGGACTCGTCCAAAACTGCCTTTTCGAGATAATCGAGGAAGGCGACTGAGAAGGGGGGCGCTTGTCTCTTCTCCGGTGACTTCTTGGAGTAATCCAGGGCCAGCTTCTTGCACCGCGGGTGTTTGGATCCCGGAGATGCGAACCCGAATACTGCGCTGAAGTGCTCAAGCGCATAGATGAAACTCAGCGGTGTCATGAATCCAGACTCTTCTGAAATCATGGACAAGATCTCCCGCTGGACCGCTTGGATGCTAAAAGGCGAACAAGGCCCTTTCTCCGGGGAAGACTCTGACGACACCTTCTCTATGTACTTCACCATGAGACGTGCGTACCTGAGTCCCGTCCCGGGTGATCTGGGCTCAGTGATGATCTTGAACTTCTCCTCATCGATGGAGCTGCCTCCCTCGACGGTGACGAAGTCCACAAGATCCATGTTGACCTGAAGAATGACTAGGTCCTCGAAAATCTTGAGACACATGGATTGGAAGGCACTCAGCTTCTCCAAGTCTAACGGGTTGTGCCGAGTAGGCCGTCTCCGTTGCAAGGGCTGATGCGATTCTACTCTCGGTGGTGGCGACGGGGGCTGTGGCACTGCCCTTTTTCTGAAACCAAAATCCACCGGCTTCACCTCCGGCTGGAGGTACGGTTGCTCCCGCTCAGACTCCTCCTCTTCCGAGTCCTGCAAAGGGGTCGAAGGAGAAGGGACTAACTCCTCAGGTTCCTGAGCCTTCCTTGCAAAGGCAATTCCCGCTGTGTTTGCCGAAACCCAAGATGCGACACCGTCCCTGCCTGAAGCTGGCAAGTTTTTATCCGAAGAGCCGGCGTTACTGCCAGCTCTGCTGCTGGCGCGCCATGGGCCATAAGCCCCTGGCGTCTTTGGGCCTCGCTCGAAGGCGGGTGCTCTGTTCTCCCTGAGGTCTGTCTCTTTGGTGACCCAGATACCTCCCCGATTGAGACCTTCTTCTCTCAGGGGGGTACTGTGTTGAACCAGTTGGTGATCTGACTCTTCACCAATCTGAATTGCCTTGATCATGTCCTCCGCAGGCACTCCTTCCTGCAGCATTTCTGCTATTTCCCGTCTTGCTGACCAGGCCGCAAGTGCAAGGACACCCGACGTCCTGCCCAGCTTGGCTCGCTTCTGGGCTGGGTGGCCTCGCGCGTGCTTGAATCCCTCGCCCTCTCCAGGGGTTCCCCACTCCCTCGGTAAGCGGCCAGAATCCTGATCGTCAGGTCTATCCAAGGGACTGTTCCTCCTTGGGCCTGGTGCCGATCTGTCCCTCCTGCTGGAATCAGACTCACCAGGGGTTCTTTGGGTGCCTCCTCCATAGGCTGTGACCGGCCTTTCCAGCCTGGAGGGTTGAGTCCTTACCCTGGAGCTCGCGGAACTAACCCACACCGGAACAGCCATAAACTCCCCCCGCTGAAACAAAAGAGGAGCGTGGGGGTGGCTGTCCGAGTGAGGCTTGACCCAAAATGGCCACGTTTCGGCCGTTTTCTGCACATTTACAGGTATTACCTTCGGCAAAACGAGCATATATACTATGTATACATATAATCAAATATATCATACATAAAATAAATTGTATACAGAATGTAAAATAATAATAATAATAATAGTAATAATAATAATAATATATATATATACATATATACCTGTGTGTTAAATGCAATATATTAAATATAAATATATATATTATTTGCTGTAGTTTATATTTGTTATATATATATATGTCGTAAATATATTTATATATATGTGTGTCTTATATATATATAGTTATATACATTTATGGTTTATAGTTATATGTGTAAATAAATATATATATTATGTATTTGTTATACATATATATATATGTGTTCATTGTCAGTCCTGGCCCAGGTCAATGCTGCAACAAATGCCACAGCTGCCTGCCAGAGGTTGCTCCTGGAACAATTCCGCAGATCAAAACTTTGCGACAAGAACCTGTCTAGAATTCCTGTTTCGGAGTTCAAGCAGATGAACACTACATTCCACACTGGAACTTGTCATCCTGCCGAGAGAACATTGGTTTCGAAACACTGAAACGGCTATGGGAAATCAACGGCCTATAGGAAAGTTTTTGCGATGCAAAAGCAATGAAGTGTTGAAGTTGTGCGGTGCATCAACGAAGGAGCAAATGGTTGTTGAGATGACCCTGACATGAAAGAATCCATGCAAAGCTCACGAAATGAACCAATGAATCATCAATGAATCAGGGATCAATGAATCAACAAATCAATGAAACAGTGAATCACCGAAACAATGAACCAATGATTGAACAACTCAATGAAGCAACAAGTCAATGAGTCAACGGCTCAACGGCTCAATGAATCAGTGAAGCAACGGATCAGTGAATCAATGAATCAATGATTGAACGATCCAATGAGTCAATCAATCAACGAATCAGCGAATCAATGAAGCACAGCGAATCACTGAATCAAGGAACCAATAAGTCAATGAGTCCATGATTCGAAAATTCAATGAACCAATGAATCATCAGTGATTCAATGTTTCCATGAATCAGTGCATCAATGAATCAATGAGCCTTGAGTCAATGGTTCCGCGATTCAGTGAGTCAATGAATCAGTGAGCCAACGAATCAACGAATCAATGGGTGAATGAATGAGTGAGTGAGTGAGTGAGTGAACGAATGAATGAATGAATGAATGAATGAAAGAATGAAAGAATGAAAGAATGAAGGAAGGAAGGAAGGAACGAAGGAAGGAAGGAAGGAATGAATGAATGAATGAGTCAATGAGCCATTGAATCAATGAACCACGGAACCCATGAATCCATGCATCAATTGATTTTGCCAACCTCATCCTCCAAAAGTGCTCCGATCCCTTCAGGTTTTTGCGATTTTGAACTGGCTACTGTCTCGCGCAGATTTTGCCTGCTTCATCTTCCAAAAGTGGCCCGACCCCTCAGTTTTTGCGATTTTGAAATGCAAAGCAAATTCATTGAAATGCAAATCGAGCTCTCGCACCTGATTTTTTGAACTGCAAATCGAGCTCTCGCTACAGTCTCGTGCACATTTTGAAAATCTTATCTTCCAAAAGTCTTCTAAACCTGTCAAATTTTTTGCATTTTGAAGTACCCGTGAGCTCTCGCTACAGTCCTGTGCATTTTTATCGCTTCTTGTCAACGAGCCCCGAAACTGCGGAAACAGAGACCCTCCTTCGGCGACCACGGAAGCCACTTTACCCGAAAAAAACGCAGGGTTTCGCGCCCGACAGTGTTTTCACCCGTGAATTCACATGCGGCCGAACCGTTACACTTCCCAACTGCTTGATGATGGGTGGTTGACATGATGATGTGGTTGACCTGATGGTGGGAATGCTAACCATGACAATCGTCCGTAAGTCGGAAGTTTTCTAACTAAACTTCCTTTGCTAAAATATGCACGTCCTCAGAAAGAATGGCATTGGCATATTTCTGATAACATCTAACACAAGTCTGCATCACATTCTGGTGATCTGTCATGCAAACATCTCCTGTTTGCGCTAGACCTTGCAGTCGGTCTGGCTGCCACTGGCCAAGGTGCCTTGATCAGTGCAATTTCGAAGGAACAGAACTGCTTTGCTTCAACGAAACCAGGGCAACAAGAGGAAGGAACTCATAAGGACAAGACTTAGACAGTCTTGCAGCTGTTGCGAATGCTTTTATCAAATTTTATCAAATCTGGCCACATCTTCCAATTTCATCTCCAAGTGAGGCGTAAAGACTGAAAAGGAAAAGTTTATCTCTACACAAAGAGCACAAAGAGTACTGTACGTGGAGTGCCTCAAGGCTTCCTCTGCGCAGAGAAGGCCCATCAACTATGGGAGCTGTCGGACCTGCGACAGAGACATCAGGCAAAGCATCAAAATACAGAGAGATCATAAAGGTAAGATTTCTTTGCAAAAGCGTTTCTTTGCAAATAAATATCCAATGGTCTTATCTGTTTTGCTGTTTTGTTGTTGTTTGTTCTTGCAGTAAAATATCGGAAACCGAAGACACCAAGCAAAAGACCATCTTTTCCTGTCGCACATTGTTCCCAGTCAACTTTGTTGTCCAGGAAACGAAAAATCCGTCTACCAAGGATGCTCCTTTGGAGCAAAATGCAAAGTTGCCGCTGTGCACGTAGTGAGCACAGGGGACAAAGTGATTCTATGTGATTCACGTCATGACGTAGTGCACAGCCCATTCTCAATCATCTTCAGGGCCTTTTCCGTCTTTTACCTCCAAAAAGAGTCTTGGAGCTCCAGTAGTTGGGACTACCGGATTTGTTGTAGGCAAAAATGTTTCTTTCAGCGGGCGACGATGTGCCATCAAGGTATATAGAAAGAAGACACCGGTACTGATAGAGAGCAAGGCGACCATCACACCGGTTCCCGTCGAATCTAATAAGTTGCAGTTCCGTGCCTTAGTCGAAACGGGAAGATCATATCAGAAATCAGTCTGCCAATGAATGACGGAAAAAGTGAAAAGGCACCTGCAAGAGTATTAAAAAGCGAGTAGCAAAGTTTTTTCAGTGAACCCCACTTGAGTGACTTGAGTTTGCTGTGTAGCAAGTTTTGAACGATGATCCTCGCTAAAGCAGTCACCACCAAAATAACTATATACTCTGTTCGGTTGGTGTTACTGGGCGATGGAGGAGATAACACTATATATATACATATATATGCATGCATATGTATATGTATATGTACATGTATGTGTATGTATATTATACGTATATGCATATGTATATGTATATACGTATACGTATACGTATATGTATATGTATATGTATGTGTATGCGTATGTGTATGTGTATATTATATGTATATTATATGTATAATATATGTATATTATATGAATATTATATGTATAATATATGTATATTATATGTATAATATGTATATTATATGTATATTATATGTAAAATATATGTATATTATATGTATATAATGTGTATATTATATGTAAAATATATGTATATTATATGTATATTATATGTATATTATATGTATATTATATGTATAATATATGTATATTATATGTATATCATATGTATATTATATGTATATTATATGTATATTATATGTATAATATATGTATATTATGTATATTATATGTATATTATATGTAAAATATATGTATATTATATGTATAATATGTGTATATTATATGTATAATATGTATATTATATGTATATTATATGTATATTATATGTATACTGTCCTTGTTGTTGTTGTTGTTGTGGCGGCTCACAGCAGTAGCTGCAGCCCGGGAACACACCTCCACCGGCAGATCGACAGACAAGCTCCGATGAACAAAACGAACGTCATTGCAAGTCCTCCCTGCCAGCTTCAGGTTGCCCAAACTAGTACTGTAATTAACCAAAAGGGACGGAAGCAGATATCAAACAAAAGACCAAAGCAAAAGGTGAACCCAAAGAGAGCATACCAGCCTTTATCCCAGCATAGCACCAACTGCGCGCGCAGGTAGGAAACCAGGCGCCCTTCATCGGAGACCCAACTGGCAATGGCATCAAACCCCGGTAAAATACCTATGACTGACCCGAAGCACAACGCCCGAACTCAGTGTACCATTCCCAGCAATCCCCCACCCGACAGAATCTCGTTGTGCATCAAAACAGTGACCAAGAATATCCTTAAGGACTGCAATGGCCACCCCAACTGCCCACACGTGTTCAAGGTCTGCATATCGGCCCAGGTCCTGGCTACATATTGGGCACCATGCGAGACAGCTAAGAAACCAGTCCCAGAGGCGGCGTACTGCACATGATTGTCATCCCCGGGGATCCGTGTTACAGACAAGTTGGCAATATCAGCACCTAAAGAGGACAGAGTACTTCCCAACCAACGACCCCATAGGTATCGATCCCGACCCACGCCACCGCACAGAACAGCTGCACCCCGAGTAACTTGAGACCCTTTCCAACTAACTGTGACGCCACACACCCACCAGAAAAAGAAGGGATCAACTGATGTTGCCCCACTGCAAGATGAAGGCGAACAGGAGGAACATCCCCAACAGCCTCGTCCGCCGACGACTCAGAGTCGGACCCATCCACACCAGACAGGAAATCCATGACCACGAAAAGCCCCAAGCAAAACACCCACCCCGACGATGCCAGCAGGCAGAAGCTGGCGTGACACGGGCGGGCAGATGCCCAACACCACGTGGACGCGGCGAGCCAAAGCCACAGGGGGCCAGCCGAAGCCCCAACACAGAGAAATCACACAACAGAACAAGGCAAAACACACGGGGCGAGCCAAAGCCCCAACCCACGGAAAACACACGGGGCGAGCCGAAGCCCAGCAGAAAATCCAAAAATATGTATGTGTATATGTATATTTGTATGTGTATGTATATGTGTATGTATATGTGTATGTATTGTGTATGTATATGTGTATGTGTATGTATATGTGTATGTATTGTGTATGTATATGTGTATGTATTTTACATGTATATTACATGTATATTATATGTATATTAAATGTAAATTATATGTTATTATATGAATATTATATGTATATATTATGTATATTATATGTATATTATATGTATTTTACATGTATATTATATGTATATTATATGTAAATTATATGTAAATTATATGTATATTATATGTATATTATATATACTATGTATATTAAATGTATATTATATGTATATTATACGTATTTTATATGTATATTATATATATATTATGTATATTATATGTATATTATATGTATAATATATGTATATTATATGTATATTATATGTATAACATATGTACATTATATGTATATTATATGTATATTATATGTATATTATATGTATGTTATATGTATATTATATGTATATTATATGTATATTATATGTATATTATATGTATATTATATGTATATTATATGTATATTGTATGTATATTGTACGTATATTATATGTATATTATATGTATATTATATGTATAATATATGTATTTTATATGTATATTATATTTATATTATATGTATATCATATGTATATTATATGTATATTATATGTATATTATATGTATAATATATGTAAAATATATGTATATTATATGTATATTATATGTAAAATATATGTATATTATATGTATAATATGTGTATATTATATGTATAATATGTGTATATTATATGTATATTTTATGTATATTATATGTATATTATATGTATATTATGTGTATACTATGTGTATACTAGGTGTATTTTGTGCGTATTTTAAAGGTATATGAAATGTATATTAAATGTATAAATGTATACTAAATGTTCATTAAATGTATATTAAAGGTATATTAACTGTGTTTCAAATGTATTTTAAATGTATATTCAATGTATATTAAATGTATAATAATTGTATGTATATGTATGTAAAAATATATATATGTATATGTATATATGTATATGTTTGTATATATGTATATGTATGTATGTATATATATATATATGTATATGTACACGTATATGTATTTATGTATGTATACATATATATATATATTTATAGATGTATGTATATGTACGTGTGTATATATATACATATGTATACATATATATATATATGTACATATATATATATATTATTGCAAATTATATATTACATATTATATATATATATTACGTATTACATATATATAGCACAAGCATAGTCGAGCTAGTTTGCTATTGGGGGCACGTGCTGCAGCAACAGGCATTGTCCTGTCTTTCCCAGTCGAGGAGCATGAAGTCGAGCAAATACAATCAACCACATGACCTGGATCATTCCCCACAAGTTGATTCGGTTGGCCAGTCTCTGCAACTCCTTCCTGCCGGTCGCATCCAAGTAAAACGAGATCGCATGGCCCGCGAGGTTCAAAAACATGAAGGTCTTGCTCACCAAAAAGTACTCCTGTTCTGAGGACACAAATATGCAAGAAAGTGGCAGAACACAAAGTGGTGCTTGTTCTGTTGATTGATGCTTTGTCTTCACATATGAGTTTTATAAAATTGGAAAGATCATGAAAGGGATAGTCATGCGCTGGCATCTCGTTGCACAAGCAGTCCGTCGTCCTTACAATATCGTGGTGAAAAGGAATCAAAAGAAAATACGTCAGCTTATAAACAGTTGTGGCATTGATGATGCCTGTTTGGTTCAAAGTTGTTTCAACAGAAGATGCTTGCGCTCCTCCAGCCAGCTCATGTTCCCAGAAGTGGGAAGAGTTGCAACTACGGAATTGCGCAAGTTCGTTAAAGAGACCAGGGCCAGCATGGTCGTTGCAACTCGGGGCATAGACATCTTGATGTCCATGGTGAATGCCAAAAAGCCCATCCTTACAGTGCGCAGGGCACAGTGCAGGGTTTCACGAAACGCCTCGCGCACATGCAATCCACGTGTCTGTGCGACTGAGTCCTTGTATGCTCTTAGTCTACTCTTAGTTCTTCTTTTTGAATGCTGCAATTTGGCCAAAGCTCATCGTGAAGATGGCCGAAGGCCACATATAAGAATTGAAGATGGCAGCCCATTCCCTGCAGGGTTTCCAAGCCATGCTTCAGCGCTTTTCTGACCACGAATCAGGGCAATCAAAAGGTCCAAAGATGTCCAAAGATGTCCAAAGACACATGACTTTCAGGAGATGAATTGCCATGTCATGACATGTCCACTTCAGACTGGAGCCGTGGAGCCTGATTCCATCAATAGAGCAGGCGATGAGTTCATCATCCATTTGCGTGCAAACAAAGCTTGACCACTCAAATCCGACATAGCTTCCAATCGCCTGGAGGGCAAAAAATGTAGTTCACAATGGCAACGTCTGCAAAGTCATGGATTCCAATGAGAAATGTGCAGAAGATGAACAAGATGAAAAAGAGGAGCAGAACAAGAGGACGCAGAACAGCAAGAAGAACAGGAATAGAATCAGGAGGAGACGGGGAGTATCGGACCCAGCACGGCCCTTCAAAATCCTTCAAATGTATACAGTACAGATCAGTACAGTATAATTACAGTATACACGTCATGCGTCTTTAAGAGGGCTAAGGGGCTAAGCCTTTGACTGACCCTGTGCAGGTGGATAGCACCTTGCCATTGACAGTAGTGTTGCCGCTGACTCCTGCAGTCGCAACGGGATTCTTTTCTTGGCTCGAAATGTCCGAATCAATCTAGTGCGTCACTGGCTCAACTTTTAACAATCACCTAGACAAAGCTCCAAATTGCATGTTTGAGCATCCATGTACCCTTGACATGTTTCAGCAGTCCGCTGACGCAACCAAGTGAAAGTGCGAAGATCAAATTGCCAGGCTTCCTTGCAACAAGCTCGGACTTAGTCAGAAAACATATCCACCCATTCATTCGAACTTGAACCCTTCTTCAACGAAATCTTTGTTTCCTGCGCAGGAATTGACAACTGCACGCCAAGTCTCTGGAGAGTAATTCGAAAGACTACTTCCTTTCTGTCAAAGGGGAAGCATTTCATGTCAAAATTTGGACTGGCTGCCTGGGCAAATTCTCCAACATAGACTGTACTCGTACTTCCCGATTCTATGCCTGTCATTGGGTTGTCCACTGTGATGGTGGCCATATGCCGCTTGGTCCCATCTCCAAAGTTTTCCACATCGATCAGAGCATAGGGCTCAGTTACGAACTGGTAAGCAGAATTTTCATAGACCTGCAGCTATTGATGAAAAGCGCTGCGCGTTTTGAGAAAACAAAGGCGACAGGTTTTATATAGAGGTTTGACGTTTGCTTCGCAGCGAACTGCTGCCGAGTCACTGCAATGGTAGTCAGCCTGCCCTCGACAATTTTCCTACTGTCGCTGAATCCAAGGAAGATATCCCAAGAGGGAAGCACCAGGAGTTCGATACCTCAGGAGCAATCATCCAAACACCACAGAGATCCTTGTGACAGAGATTTCACAGTCTGCTGTTTATCCACTGTAGCGGCTTTCGGAAATCAGTAGCTGTGGCTGTCAAGTTGCTTTTATTGGGTGCATTCTTTATGCGGACTCCGGAGGGCAAGGCCTCGTCCTCCTCTTGCTAGCCATACTTCTAGTACTCGTTCAAGTTCAAGCTGCGAATGGTTCAACTTATTCATCTTCTATCATTTTTTCTCCGTCTTTTGCCGTTGTATTACGGGTGTCTTCCTTGCTTTGTCCAAGAGCGAGGAGGCGAGGAGACTGCGTCTTTGTGCGCATGAGCATTTATATTATACTATATCATTTTTTATTATATCAAAGGAAATTATATTATATAATATATTATATTATATATTATATCTCATATATCATATATTATATATTATATATTATATATTATATATTAAATATTATATATAATATATATTATATATTATATTTTATAATTACATATTACATATTACATATTACATATTACATATTATATATTATATATGATATATGATATATGATATATTATATATTATATAAATTATATGTGTATATATATATATTATATTTTAAATTATATCATATCATATCATATCATATTATATTATAGTGCATATTATATAATAATATATTATATTATGTATTATATATTATATATTATATGTTATATGTTATATATTATATATTAAATGTTATATATATTATATATAATATATATTATATTTTATATATATATAGTCTATATATTATATATATTATATATTATATATATATTATATATATTGTATATAATATATATTATATTTTATATATATATAGTCTATATATTATATATATTATATATTATATATATATTATATATATTGTATATAATATATATATATTACTTATATTATATATATTATATATATTATATATATTATATATATTGTATATATTATATATATTATATATATTATATATATTATATATATTATATATATTATATATATTATATATTATATATAATATATATAATATATATAATATATATAATATATATAATATATATATAATATATATAATATATATAATATATATAATATATATATAATATAATATATAATATATATAATATATAATATATAATATATATATATATTATATTATATATATTATATATATTATATATTATATATTATATATATTATATATTATATATATTATATATATTATATATATTTTATATATTATATATATTATATATGTTATATATCTTATATATCTTATATATATTATATATTATATAAATTATATAAATCATATATATATATATTATATATATTATATATATTATATATATTATATATATTATATATATTATATATATTATATATATTACATATATTATATATATTATATATCTTATATATATTATATATTATATAAATTATATAAATCATATATATATATATTATATATATTATATATGTTATATATATTATATATAATATATGTATTTTATTTAATATATTATATATATTATATATATA